TTTTTTTTTTTTTCTTCTCTGGGCTCTGTAACTCAACTGCAGGGTGGAGAAGGTGCTACTCGGACGGAAAGCTATTGAGAAGAAAGTAGTTTCACAAGACTTGGAGCTATGGCTGTCAAATGTAAGTGGAGAAGGTGGAGAAGCTATTGAGTGTATGATGCCATTTTCTCTACTCTGCTTGTTATGTTTATGTTTTCCATGCGGCTGACGATACTCTCGAGAGAGAGGCAACTTTGTGCTTGCACCAGGTGTGCAAGTCGTTTTTTTTTTTTTTTTTTTTTTTTTTTTTGCCCGATGGACCACGAATCAGATCAGATATTAAACTGATCAGAACAGAACCGACAGGTACTACACACTTTATCTTACTTACCCAAAAGGCCGAGAAAGGTGCAGGCGTGCAAGTCTTTCCTTGTTTTTTTTTAACAAAAATGGGATCACTCTTGCATTATCGTATTCTTTTTTTTCCAAAAATGGGATCACTCTTGCATTATCGTATTCACAAGGATTGAAATTTGAAACTGATGATCTGGTTTTCAAGTTTTTATTACTTTTTAACCAGTTTATTACTTCTTAACCAGTTTATTACCTTTTTAACCAGTTTGTGTATGTGCCTGCCATTCTGTGCCGCCTTTGCAGTCTGTTATTGTGTATAAAACATACTTGCGGCGCATAGCGCACGCGCACGCTGATTGTATCTGGATTCGAACTCGGATCTGCATTTTAACAATTCATGGGTTTACCAACTGAGCTAGGCCTGTAAAAGATATCATCCGCTTTCCTGTCGCTATGGAGACAGCTATGCCATGTCAGTGCACAGCATCCAAGGACCTGAGATTAGATCTGTCTTGTCTTGCCTGTTCAGTCGACTCCCTGTCACTGTCTTCAGGGTTGGTTTGAGTGTCGTGAGTTCCCCTGCAAGATACTCTAAACCGCCACTTGCTCTCCCACCTGACCTGGCGATCTTAACAGATTCAACAAGGGACAGTACTCAACCTGTCTCGGTGTGGTGGATGTGTGTGTGTGTGTGTGTGTGTGTGTGTGTGTGTGTGTGAGAGAGAGAGAGAGAGAGAGAGAGAGAGAGTTGAAGGACACTACAGCCATGGAGGGGTTGGGTGAACATCATTTTTTGTTTTTTTTTCCCTTTCTTTAAAAAGGGCGACAACCTTGAGATATCATCTTTGAATTGACTGGCCCCAGGTAATTCAGAATTATTCGACTCTGTTCATCTGATTGCAACTGGATTCGAAATTGGGTCTGTATTTCAACAGTTCGTGGGTGTACCAACTGAGCTAGGGTCGTTGGTAGGGGTGGGGTGGATATCACCACCGGCATGGATCCACTTTCCTATGCTGTGCCATGGCTGTAGTGGTTAAGAAACTTGGCTCTTGAGGCTGACGGCACCGGTTTTGAAGAGGTGTGTGCGCGGAGGAGGTCCTGCGGTCGACAAGTCCAGACTGTCTCTGGCTGTCCAAGAGGGGGAGATTGAATGAACCAGAAAATCGCTGCACGGTTAGTAGCACCACCGCCTTTTTGTTGTCCCCGTCTGCCGGTCCCATTGCACCTATGCCGGGCCTGTTATGAGTCACAGTACTCACCGCTCAGGAAAAAAAGGAGGCCTGCCGAGGGAGCGGTGGTTAAAAGACTGAAGTGGTTGGTCCATATGCCAGGGATCACTGCGTAATAGCCGGGAAGAATTTGTAGAAGACATTCTGCGTAGCGCCACCGCCTTTTTGTTGTCCCCGTCTATCAGTCCCATTGCACCTATGCCAGGCCTGTTATGAGGCACAGTGGTCACCGGTCAGGGAAAAAACAGGCCCGCCGAGGGAGCGGTGGTTAAAAGACTGAAGGCAGTTGGTCCATATGCCAGGAATCGCTGTGTAATAGTCGTGAAGAATTTGTAGAAGACATTCTGCGTAGCACCAGCGCCTTTTTGTTGTCCCCGTCTGCCGGTCCCATTGCACCTATGCCGGGCCTGTTATGAGACACAGTGCTCACCGCTCAGGAAAAAAAGGAGGCCTGCCGAGGGAGCGGTGGTTAAAAGACTGAAGGTGGCTGTTCCATATGCCAGGGATCGCTGCGTAATAGTCATGAAGAATTTGTAGAAGACATTCAGCGTAGCCTGGAGAATAAACAGACGAAGGGGGCACACGGTACAGGCAAGTGTTTCAGATTTTTTATTTTTTCGATCCCGCATTCCTTTTCTAAGTTTTCTTTCCTCTCTACTTTAAATGCTAGCTTATAACTTTTTCCAACTGTTTCTGTTCAACCTGCTGTGGCTGTAGGTGCCGATTGAAGGAGGTTTTACTCTGCTTGCTCGATCCGGCCGCCAGGTAAGATTAACAGGGCTCTCTCCTCAGCCACTCATTTTTCACTGTGAACAGCGCAAAGGTTAAATAATGGAGAGACCATGGAAAAAAAAGTCAAAAGAAGAAAAAAGGAACAAAAAACTTGAAAAAAGAAAGACAAAAAAGATTCCATTGGGACATCCGTTAAAATTGGAACGATAGTTACGATACAGAGAAGGGTAAATTAGCAAATAGTGCCCCTGTGCAAGGATCACGGACATAATCAAGAAATGGTCCAAATATTTTTCAAATTTCAATTAAAAAAATAAAAAGGAAGGAAAGAAAGAAAGAAGGAACAGTCATAACACTCACACCAATCAGTCCTATTTGGCTTGGAGAGTTGGAGGTACTTTTGAAAAACATTTGGAACCATTTCTCAGTTATGGGTGTTCCCATTGCGGGTTCAGTGATCCTCATTGGCATATGCCTAAGGTAACCCTCAGTCCTAACCCAGACTCCAAATCTAACCTCAACCCTAACCCAACTCTAACCCCCAACTCTAACCCCCAACCCTAACCCAACCCTAACCCAACTCTAACCCCCAACTCTGACCCTAACCCCAATCCTATCGTCAATCCCAACCCTAATATTAACTCCTGCTAACCACTGGCCCAATCCTTGGCCCCAGCGTCAACCCTACCCCTCCAAATCCAGCACTCAAGTTCTTCGCCCCAACACTAAGACGGGGGGGGGGTTGATGCTGCATAAACTCTGAAGTTGTGAACTATATCTTTATCTTATAATAATGCATGAAAGTAAGCCAGAAACTTAAGCAGGTTCAATGTACTTTCAACATATGAAACTACTTTCATATTTTTAATACTTTCTTCTGTCCTTTTCTATTTGGTACTGTACTATTGTTCCTATTTTGATCATGTAAACGGTGGAAGTGGAAGAGTGGAAGCGGAAGTTGAAGTGGAAGTGGAAGTCACAGTGGAACTCATTTTTTTCTTCTCGTTTTCTTTATGTGTGCACAAGGTGCAAGAGGTCAATGTGATCACATCACTAGACCGAGAGAAGATGAAGGCCGCCGTACAGACAGTCACCTCAAGAGTGCCATGATCGGCAGTACGCGGCGGGGGGTGGAGCTGGGGGCGGGCAATGGCAGGGTTACAGAGACGAAAGGGTTCTGTGCTCGAAAGGAAAAAAAAAAAAAAAAAACTTCAAAAAAGTAAAGGTAAGGAAATGTTTCTGTCGACAAATGTAAAGCGGAGGGCCAGCTGGCAATTGTCATGTACATAGAGAGGTCAGAAAAACACAGCTATACAGCGACACATTGCTAGCTCACTCGCAACCAGCAGGCCCTGAGGAACAGTTGTACTCTGCAGGTAACGACTCCTGGGACAGCTGCCAGAGGTGCAGGACCTGAGGAACAGGTGTACTCTGCATGCGGTGTGGTGTAATGAAATGAAGCTAAGAGGAGACTGGCTGGAAGGCAAGGGCGGAGGGGAAGCTGTCGAGAGTGGCATGCCTATACGGATCACATGTGCAATTGTGCGTTGTTATCTGAAACTGCCTTGAGGAACTTCTTGCCAGAAAGAATGGGAGAGAGAGAGAGAGAGAGAGAGAGAGAGAGAGAGAGAGAGAGAGAGAGAGAGAGAGAGAGCTTGGCAGAATGCTTCAGCAATGGAAAGGAGGTGCCTATGAAAATGTACCTTGTGACGGATAAACTATGGATCGCACGGAATGCCTTCCATGCCGCTAGCTGGTTGAAGGGAATCTCATTCTGATCAATGGTTGTGATGTGACCCAAAAGAATGGTTCTGATCGAAGGTTCTGATCGGACTATTGGCATGGAATGGACCACTGAGTCACTGACTTCTTCGATCCGATTGATCGATAGTGGTGGGGTTGTTTTGCCAACAGCTTGCTCATGCAGAGTCCGTAGTTGACGGCACAGTGACACACATGCTATTGATGAATTTGGACTGTGGTGATGATCAGGTCCTCACTCGATATGATGCTATTGAATAGTCCGGATGCTATGGACTATTCAGTAGCATGCTGTTGGGCTGTCGGCCGATTGGTCTGTTAGTGTGGGTGAAGAATACATCACGAAACAGCCTGGCCAAACTGAGAGATGAAGAACAGGGGTATTGATAGCTGATATGTCTGGATGCATCCGAAGGCGGGAATCGATTTGGTCTGTCTCAATCGACGGCTGAGGTGTTATTATAATCTTGTGTTTAAAGGCCAGGGGGCACTTTGCTCCTTTGTGCAATGGCTGTGATTTCTTTCCCTCTTTCTTGTTCGTGCACGAGGGAGGAGCTACCTCTCCACGGGCGAGACGCATGGAGCACACGATGGCTTTGAGGCTTTGAGGCTGGGCGCCAAAGCGCAGAAGGGTTTGATTCATATTCTGTACCCTCTTCTTGGTGCCGTTTTTCTGGGCGGTTTCGTGGGCATCATCAGCCATCGGCTGTGTTCAATACCGATCTAAGAGAGAGAGAGAGAGAGAGAGAGAGAGAGAGAGAGAGAGAGAGAGAGAGAGAGAGAGAGAGAGAGAATATCTACTGTGCCACACTATTAGTTGGTTGGCAGGATTGATGTTAATTTCAAAAAAAAAACAAAAAAAAAACAGTGCTTTTGTTTGTGTTAACGGTTCTAACTTTCATTTGAAGCGGTTGAAAAATGGATTAAAATTTTAGAAATAGAAAATGTAATAGATAATGGATATTCATTTTCACTATTCTTTTAAATAGTCTAAAGGACAAGAGCAAGGGAGAAGGTCAGGTCTCCAAATCCCACTCATACCCCCCTTTTTTTCATTTAAGGGCTGGGGGATGTGCAGGAAGGGGGGGGAAGGGGGGGGGGAAGGGGGGGAGGGGGGAGAGCTCAGTTCTTCTGGGTGTGTGCTTCACGGCTGTTTCTTGGTTTCATCAGGGGGAACAATTTTTTTTTTAGAATATTTGAAAATGCAGCATGTGAATTTCAACGTGTTTTTTTTTTTTCCGTATTTTTTGTCAAGCAGATAGCTGAGTCACTGGGTCAAAAAAAAAAGGGACTGGTTGGCCTTGCTCTGTGAATTTCGATTTTCAAGCTTGTTTTTCTTTTCCCCCCCTTCTTTTCTAGGCTACCAGCCGGGCCGTCGGGGTCCCGGGTGGCCAGGCCGTGCAAGGACAAGGGAAGGGCCCAGAAAAAAAAAAAAAAAAAAAAAAAAAAAAACCGAAAACAGACTATGTTATGACAGTTATGCAGAAGAATGAACTGAAGTTGCATTCAGGAGGTCGTGGGTTCAATCCCCATTGGCCTCACGTACGTGCCTGGGCAAGCTTGGTGTTCTACCAGCTAGAGATAACCCGTTGGCCCCCCAAGCCAGCATTGGCAGGACCTTGGTGGATGTTGTTGGTTGCTAAGCAGCGACAATGGCCATTAGACACCGCCATGTGGGGTTTGGGGGGGGGTAGGGGGAGGTGCAGTGACTGTCGAGAACGACGATACTTCACAATACCTTTTCAATGTGCAGCCAAGCCACAGCCAAGACAGACGTCAACAATCATCATGCGTGGAGGACACAAGCACATGGGAGAGGAGAGGGGGCGACACCGATCGAGTCAAGTCAAAATCCCGAACGCGACAAATACGAAAAAAGTACATGAAGAATAGTCGGAATGCAAGCACTCGGTTGGCGTAGCGACCCGACCGGTTTCGGCTGGCCGCCAATGCCAGCACTCATCAGGGGTCTGTCGGTAAGGAAACGAACTGACTGATCCTATAAAAAGGAATCGGGAACTCAGAACTACGAGGATCCTAAAACTAAATTTAAAATTATAAAAATTATAAAAGCAGAAAAAACTATCTCGAAAATAAAGTGACTGGCCATTGCTCGGCGCTAGCACCGCCGATTTCCCCCATTGGCAATGCCTGCCCACCCGTCGTCACTGCGATGAGGGACTGGTACAGCCTTGCTCTCGCACCACTGCTGTGGTGCCAACCTACCCCGTGGGCTGGGGAGAGATCCGGGTTGGTTGGTGTTCCCCCGGACTACACATACACTAGTGAGAGGATGAGATAGATGAGTACTAGCAAGAAAAATGAGATAGATGAGAGAAGAAGATAGCCTTCAAAATTTCAATTAAAAAAAAAAAAAAAAAGAATGAACTGAACGAGTTTTGCCTCAGGGTCATGTCGAGATTCTTTACCAAACTCAGAATATAAAATAAAATTGTAAAATATTTTTTATTTTTATTTATATTTTTTTTTTTTTTTGGCCCGGCTGGGCAAGTGACCCCGGGGCCACGGTTCCACTAGCACACGAGTCATGGTCTATTAGGACCTGTGCGGCACTGTAAAAAAAGGAAGAAAAGTAATTTTAATTTTTAAAGACCGTAAAAAAAAAAAAAAAATGGCGACATCACATTTCCCGAGATGGGAAGGAGGCCGACTTTGTGAAAGTGCTGCCGTCCCACTAACCCTCCCGTCTCCTCCCCCTGATCCCCACCCAGTCAGCCACTGCCTAATCAGGACAGAGTGGTACGTGACTGTTGCAGTATTGCGTACCACTGCGAGGGAGGAGGGAGAGTCCCTTTTGTGTGCCTGAAGGGACTCCCTTCTCTGACGGTTGCCATGCTGAAGTGTGCATTTCGCATATTTTTTTTTGAGAGAAAAATCAAGTACTGGATGGGGTTACAATTGACTGGGAAAAAGAAGGGGGTCAAAACCATGCCCTTCGAGTACGTGATTACTTGAAGAGCTGCCAATCAAAGTGAGTTTTTCTATTTTCTTTTCCCGCCTCCCATTCTTGGGAGCTGAAAAGAAAAAGCACAAAACAAGACCCAAAAAAAAAAAAAAAAAAACACTAGTTCAGAATAAATTGATCGCAATTTCTCTGCCATCGGATTTTCCTGCATCAGTGGTCGGACGATGTCCCGCAGATGTCCCATAGGTGTTTGTGAGACATCGTTTACCTTTCTCCTTTGCTAGTGGAACCATGCTCGGGGCCACTCTGGTATAGCCTCACTTCTTTTGCTGTTTTCCTTGCTCAACTTCCGATTAGGATAGATAGATATTTCTGGATATAGGCCTATTGGAGTTCTTGGATTTATTGTGTGGGCTCAAGATGGATCCCTCTCATGGCAACATGAGAGTTCAATCACTTGGCTATATGCTGGAAATGCCTTCGAGTTGGAAGTTCCACATTCATTGGTCAATCAGCAGGCTCGCCATCCATAGTTTGATCGAAGAGGAGCCTCAGAGACTACAAGCGAAGCAACTTTTGTTTTGCCGCCTCTTAGTGCTGCGCAAATGGCATGGCAAGCGCTGTAGCGTGCATTCCATTGTCCCTATGGGAAAAATTCTCCCAGAGCACAACCTGCATAAGGAGCAACAAATTGAAGAGGAGCAGGATCTGATGCAGTGGCTGCCACAATAATAGAATATTCTGAAGCACCCGCGTCTGAAAGAATTTTCACTAATTGTACTACGGTCGAACGCTTCTGATCAATTGCTCCATACACACAATACAGCTTTTCTTTCTCAGAGGCACCTTTTGCATTGATCTGCTTTCTTTTTGTTTTTTTTTTGTTTTTTTTTTGTTTTTTTTTCGTTTGTTGTTTTGTTCCATTCTTTCTTATTTTCTTTTTTCCTTTTTTCTTTTTAAAGAGGTGGCTTAGTTACTGCATCGAGCCACAAACTTTTGCAGGTTTGTCTACCGCTGCATTGTGTGCATCACTGCAGTTTTTTATGATGACTTTTCTTTTTTTTTTCTTTTTCTTTTTTTTTTGGTTACCTCTTTTGAATAAACAGGGCCCCTTATGACTGAGTGACTGGGTTAAGAAATGGAACTAGAACAAGTTCGCCTCGCTCTGTGAATTTCACAAAAAGCTTTTTTGTTTCTTTTTCCTTTTTTTAACCACCAGTCCCCCCACCACCCAAAAACCTGCCTCTGTGGCTTTCCCGTGAGTTAGGGCCACGTTTTTCAGCAGGGCGGTCGGTTACTGGCAGGTCCAATCCTGCAAATAAAAAGTGCCCTCAATTCGGCGATTTTTAGCGCTTTAAATAATGAACAGAAAAATCTGAAATTCTGGGATCCTGTAGACGAGCTCGTGATCTTTCCAGGAATATCTATCTATCTATCTATATATATAGATATATATCGTCACAAACAGAACTGCCCGGTAAACCGTAGGCAGAGAGAGAGAAGAGGACAACAAACAAGGGGATATATATATATCGTCAAATAGAACTGCCTACGGTAAACCGTAGGCAGAGAGGGAGAAGAGGACAACAAACGAGGGGCTGTGACAAACTGTTTCGTCGGAGTTTCACCGACTCATCATATATATATATATATATATAATATATATATATCTCTGCCTACGGTTT